GAGTCAAAAACATCCAAGTTTTAACCCCAGATCCCCACTTACTAGTTGCAGGATCTTGAACAGGTAATAAAACCTGTATAGGCCAGGCACAGTGGCACTTTGCACTTTGAGAGGCCGAGGCAGGTGGATCACTTGACCCCGGGAGTTCGAGACTAGCCTGGGTGACGTGGCAAAACCCCATCTCTTCCAAAAATACAAAAATTAGCCAGACATGTTGGTGCTTGCCTGTAGTCCCAGCTATTCTGGAGGCTGAGGTGGAAGGATCACTTGAGCCCGGGAAGGGGAAGGCCACGGTGAGCTGAGATGACACCACTGCACCCCAGCCTGGGTGACAGAGTGAGACCCTGTCTCAGAATAAATAAATAATGTACAGCAAAATGCACAGACCTTAACTGTATAGTTAGATCAGTTTTGACACATGCATACACATATGTAACTCACACCCTCTCAAGATACAGAATATTCTCATCACCCCAGAAAGTTCTCTCATGTCCCTTTCTGGTGAATCCCCCGGAGGCAAGTAGTAATCTGATTTCTGTCACCATGGATTAGTTTTGCCATTTCTGGACCTTCATCTAAATGGAATTATACAGTATTTACTCATGTGTTTGACTTCTTTTTACTCAATGTAATATCTGAGATTTACCCATTTTGTTTCCTTTGTCATTAATTAGTTCCTTTTTATTGCTGAGTAGTAGTACACTGTGTGAATGTACTACAGTTTGTTTATTCTTCTGTTAGTAGTTATCTGGGCTGCTTCCAGATTTTGGCTATCTAGTCCCGAGTAGAAACTACTAGGGACATGCTTGTACAAGGCTTTTTGTGGACATAGTTTTCATTGCTGTTAAGAAGTACCTAAAAGTAGAATTGCAACTGCTGGAACATGGATATTATATGCTTCTCGATACAATATCCTGAGAAAGTCACAACATCACTATAATATCCTGAGAAAGACACAACAAAGGCTTCTGACTGAGAATACCTAATCTGAATCTGGTCATCATGATACATTAGACAAATCTCACATAAGGACTATACTATCTAAAAAGAAAAGGGACTATAGCCTTCAAAAATGTTAGTGCTGCATAAAATAAAGCTCCAGAACTGTTCCAAATTAAATGATACTGAATAGACATGACAAATGCAGGACATGGTCATAGATTTAATTCTGTATTAGAGAATGGAATTCTAAAAAAGACATTATTTAATTGACAAAATTGCAATATGGACAGTAAATTTTTGTGTCAATGTAACACTTATTGAAGTTGATAGCTGTATTGTAGTTATTCAAGAGAATATCCCTCTTCTGTGGAAATAGATATCACAGTATTTTAGAGGTAAATTACTGGGAGAGAGGAAACAGAGGGAGAGAGGGAGGATGAGTGAGTGAGCATGGGCAAATGACAAATAATGGAACAAATTAAGTAAAATATTAACAATGGGTTGATACAGCTAAGGCATTTGTAGATTTTTTTTTGTACTATGCTGCCTACTCTTCTGAAATTTGAAACTATTTCCAAATAAAAAATTTAAAAACCAGGTTTGAATTTTCTATGTGTGAGATGTTCATAGATCCATTCAAGTTTATTTGTTATCAGTCTGTTATCAGTTTTTTCCATTCCTTATGGCAGTTTTGCTGTTTTTCTAGAAACGTATCCATTTCTCCTGTTGCCAAATATATTGTTATATATAATTTATAATATTTTATAATTTTAAAAATGTTTTCTCTGTGGTTATCTTATCTTTTTATTCCATATTTTGTTAACTTCCATTACTATCTTCCATTTATTGATTTTGCCAGAAGTTTGTCTAATACTTTCTTCAAAGAACCGACTTTTGATTTTCTTAATTTTCTTTGCTGTTTTTGTTCTCTATTTTAGCAGTGCCTGTCCATATATCCTTCCTTGTTTCTTTGCATTTGTACTGTCCTCTATCTTTTTGAGTTGAATGATTAGCTCTTCTGTTTTCAGCATTTGTCTTCATATATTCAGAAGCATAATTTTCCTGCTATTGTCTCATCTACATCCCACCAATTTTGATTGGTAGTCTTCTGCTGATTATTTCATAATGTTGTTTCCTCTTTAACCTAAGGATTATTTTGCTACATATTTCTTGCTTCCAGGCTTGGGATATTGTTAGCTGTCTTTTTGTTATTTCAAATTTTGTTGCAGCCTGGTTGGGGAATATAATCTTTTAGAGCTTGAGTTTTTGGAATTTGAGGCTTCTTTTGAGGCTTCAGTTTATGATTGGTATTTGGGAAATATTCCACGTGTCCTCGAGAAGAATGTTTTAATTTGTATTTGGTATAAAATTCTGTATCTTTGATTGAGCTTCTTACATGGAATATAAATATCATTTTGTCCACTTAATCTGTTATTTTGTGAGGTAATTTAAAATAGGCCACCATAATTTTTGATTATTCTCTTTCCACCTGTAGCTTTGCCCGTGGTTGTAGTGTATTTTCTACATTGTTAGGTGCATATATATTTGTAATTCTTTCCTCTTTTTACTCATATATAATAAATAGCTGTCTTAATGACATAATGTTTTACATCTTGTTTGGTTTCTATGTTAATTAAAATGGCTGCTTTGTTGTTTTCATATTTTCTTAAAACTATATGTACTTACTCAAATTTTTAAATGAGTTGAAAATTACCCCAATGTTTCCTAACAGGGCCCTGTATCTAACATAATAATTGGTACTTACTGGGTAATCTTACATGCTTGTAAAGTTTCTTCATTAAAACTCAGAGGAAAACAATTCATTTGAAAGTGACAGACTCCAGTTTAGTTTTATTAGTCAAGCTTAATAATTGCAGACTCCTTCCCTGCGATTATTAAGCTTGGCTCATTTGCATATTAGCATATTCTTTATCGCACATTAATGTCTTTCTAGAATTCATTATTGCATTATTTTGCTAGATTTATTTGATAGTATGATAAAAACAAAAAGATAGCTGGTTCAGTAATTCTGTGCTAGGCAAATGTAAAAAGCTGTCATTGCAAGCCATTGGATATCCATTTTAAAAAGATGGTTTTTTTCAATCACTTTCACATTAAAGAATGCTTTCTTCCGTAAAGAAATCTCCCTTGGCACAATAAAGAATGTTTTCCACTTTCTTAATGAAATCTTCCTTGGCTCTTCAGTTGCTATATCCTTTCGAAAAATTTTCCTGAGTTCCTCTCCTATTCTTTTTAGTAAGGATGAATTGACTTCTCTTTTACCCTAACACTTAACCATTATTTTTTGAAACACATAGTTGTAACATACACCCTTAAAATGGCAGGATGCCTAGAAGTATTAAAGACTGTAGGTTGCCACAAGAAAAACTTTTCACCACACATTCAAGTTGAAAACCTTCCTTCAAGGAAAAAATAGAAATACAATTTCTAAAATGAAAGCAGTAGGTTTAAGAAATCTCCAAAGTCTTTAAACCTAGGCATTCCATTTCTTCTGGTGGTATTTGGGTGCTCTGATAAAGTAACCTAGACTGGTTGCCTTCTATTCCTTGTTTACAGCTATCTTCCTGGGATTTCTCTTTCTAGTCACCCTGGGGGTTTCCTTTGCCTCTGTTATCTCAGTATCATATTGCTGTAATTACTGTAGTTTCATATAGATCTAGTCCCCTCATATCAGAATATTCTTGACTATTTCTTGACTATTTCTGGCTTACTTTTTATACAAAAAGTCTCCCTTTTTACCACCTCAGTATGTGGTTTTCAGACTGCTCCTATTATTTTGAATTGTGAAATTGACACTTTTTCCAAGTAAAAAGATTGTCAAATATTGGCAGTTTCAAACATTTCTACTTACTAGAAGATTTCTTGCCAAGTTTCTATCTGGGCACTTTATCGTTTCTATTGTAAATGAGTACTTGTTATGGTTTGAGAGTGTTGATTTGCTTCTTAATTTTATACTTAGGAATATAATTTTTATATCTGGGAATATAATTTTTATACCTGTTCTTTTAACAGGTGATTCTTTTGAATTTTCCATTTATATAAACTCGTCTGCAATTAATGCAGATACCCTCATTATTTGGAACTACAGATAATTTTACTGTCTTTTCCATTTTTATGCCTCTTTTATCTTCGTGTTTTGTAATGCTAATGAAAATGGACATTCTTGTCTTATTTCAGATCTATATAGGTGTCTTTTTAGGTTTCCTCACTATGTATAGTACTGACTTTTAGTTTTATGTATTACATATGTATTTTCCATGTTAAATATATAATTATTCCTGTTTCATTATTGATTCTTGAAACATTGATGGATATATAAGTTTATCAGATGTTTTTCAGTAGCTGTGGATATAATCATAAGATATTTTTCCTTGATACTTTTGCGTAGCAAATCAAGTTGATTTTATTATATTGGACCAATTTTGAATGTCAGAACTGAACTCTACTTGATAATAATTGTGGTATATTTCTCCTTTGGTATGTTCCTAGAGACTTTCTTTTTTATTGTTTTCTTGGTAAGTTTTGCATGTTATTTCTTAAGTACTATTCACCTCTAGTATTCATTTATGTGTGTGCTATTTCTGTTAGTTTTTGATATCACTGTTAGGTTCTCTATGCAAAAATAATTTGGAAGCTTCTAGGCTTTTAAACAGTTGAGGTAACTTTAGGATTATCTGTTCTTAAATATTTGTTAGAATTTATAAGAACTGTTGCTTTCCGAGGAGGTTAGCTATTTGACAGCTTTCTCTGTTCCTTGTGTCATAATGATCAGATACTGCTTCTGGTGAAGACTTTCCTGTTGTGCCTTCATGGAATTCGTAATGTCTTACTTGGAATGCTGATAATAATGTTTATGTTTTTCTTATGCATATTGATTTTCATCATTAAATTGTTAAAAGGTATTAGGATAGGAACCATCTTTCTGTTTATTGCCTCAAATTCTAGCCCATACAGAAATACGTTGACTTAACAACTCTTCTTCTTTCTTTTTCTTTCTCTTTTTCTGTTTGTCGCTGGTGGTGGTGGGTGTTTTACAGGCTTCCCAGCTGGCGTGTATGTTGTAAAGAGAGTTCTTCAGCTTCAGCGTCATCGTATTACTCTCAAGATGACAACTGTGCGCTAGAAAATGAAGATGTACAATTCCCGAAAAAGGTGCCTTAAATAAAGTTAACATTATAATTTGTGTGTCAGCTTTCCGAGAGTGCCTGAAAACATTCAAAATAAAATAATTTCAAAAATGCTGTGCCATAATTTTTGGTGGAGATTTGTATTTTTCTTTGCTATTACTCAGGTAATTCTTACATTCTGATGGCTCAGAGATATTTATATGTTTATTCTTATTGCTTGTATTTGGAATTTTGTAACATCCTTAGTCCTATAGTATAGGGTAGTGCATGTTCAGAGAGCTGAAAACGAGTGATTTGTTTTTAATGATCTATAATAATTAGAGTTTTTAAAGAAATCCCAATTTTGCAAATTAAAAACTATTAGAAATGAGTATTCCAGGGAGAATCTACAGTTAGTGGCTTTGTAGTTTGTTTTATGTAATTAGGTGCAGTAAATATAAAGACTCCAAAAAACCTCATGATCTTAAAACATGTTATTTTACCATTTTAAATGATAAATGGTGAGTATTGACTTGATTTGGCTTTTGCCTTTAACTTCAGTGTATTTATTTAAAATTACTGAAATAATTTATATTGATATAAAATATTTATTATTTATGTCTCATTCCTTTCCCCAAAGGAACAACAGTTTACTATCTCTTGTGAAAATGTTCGGACCTTGTTCTGTGGGTATAAATAACACCTTTATATATGCCCACAAATTAATATTTTTATTTCTATGAAAATATCATGTATATATATATATTACAAATTGACATCCCCCTTTCCCTCAGTGATAGCTCATATATCATCTTTTCATGTTGATATATTCTGAATGGCTGCATTTTAATCTTGTTATACAGACATGTTATTTATCAATTGTTTCTTTATTGACAAACTTTTGCATTTTGTTCCCTGCCATGTGTGCACACGTGTGTGTGTGTGTGTGTTTCAACACATATTTACAATTACATACTTGAGGGTTTTCTTTTGCATATTTAGAGTGGATTATTTAAGTTATGTTGGATATATTTCTGGGATGGAGCATTTAAAATTTGAAGACTTGCCACGTATCTCCAAAAAAACTATGATTTTATATTTTCACCCACACAGTATGTAAGATTTTGATTTAATCCCCTTTTTGATGAAGCATTTTGCAAACAAATGTCATAAAAATGAATTTAAGCAGAGCATTAAGGGGGAAAGCATATTCTTTCAGCAAACATTTAGATACCTAGTATGAGCTATATAGACTCAGGTAAACAAAGATTGAATATGAACTTTTATGAAAGTTACACTCTAGAAGGCATAAAGGTATAGAAATTCTAACTCGAATGTATGTCAAAAAAGAGATGAAAGGAAGAGCTTTATGTACCTTCATTTGTCAGATATTTATTGGAGTTTTACTAGGTGCTTAAAACAGTGCTGGATGGTAAGACTAAAATGCTTATTAAGAAATCAAATGAAGTTGTTGAACTGGTGTATTGCACATTTTAAGTGTTGTAGCAATGAGGGGATTGGAGGAAATAGACAATAATCCTGTGAACAAATGAAATTAATTAGAGTCAAATACACAAGTCAATTTTTTGGTTTTAAAGTATGGAAAGAAATGCCCTTCATATTGCTTTATAACTTTTGTAAAACAGTTTTATCAGGTGATCTTTTTTGTTGTTGTTTGTTATATAGGATGAAAGAGAGGGACCTATCAATGCTGAATCATTGGGAAAATCAGGTTCAAATTTACCTGTTTCTCCAGAAGAACATAAATTAAAAGATGACTCTATTGTGGATGTACAAGTAAGCTATGTTGCTTTGATTTTTAATAATATGTCATTTCAAACTACTTCACAAGGTTGAAAACCTCTGTTCGGTCACCATATTGTGTGTGTATTGTTAGTTTTTTCACTTTGAGGTACTCTGTAACTGGACTTAAGATTGCTTACCTGCTAATAGTACTACTTTTGAGTACATGTATAATTACAGATAATAATAATAATAATAAATGTGACTAGTCTCTTGGTAGTAAAGGTTTGAGTGTAAATCCTCGTTTCTTCCTCGGTTCTATTTTGGTTCATTATGATGTATCTTGTCTCTTCAGATTTTCAGTTGTTAGGAAATTTTTTTCTAACCTGAATCACTTGGAACAAAAGGGAGTATTTTTATGTAGAACTCGGAGTATTTTGATACCAAGATTTCTACTTATTATGGGTATGAATAGATAATAGGTTAAAATATGTTTTTTCCCTCTCTTATATTACATTCTGAATATTGTTTACTTTGTGCACCAGACTTTATGAAAAATACTAAAAACTAGTATATATACACCATAAACTGATCAGAATGCTGAGGTATCTGGAAGCCGTTTAACATCAGTAATGGCTGAAGGAACTGGGGATATTTGATTGTCTAGAATATATATACCATAAACTGATCAGAATGCTAATGCTGAGGTATCTGGAAGCCATTTAATATCAGTAATGGCTGAAGGAACTGGGGATGTTTGATCTGGAGGCAGAAGGACTAAGGAAAAACTAAAATCTCGAATATTAAAAAAAGAACACACATTTTAACTCAGAATGAGGGAGAATTCTTTCTTTTTAAAAAAATACAGCCTTGGCTATTCTTTTTTTTCGTTTTTTATTTTTTAACCTTGCACTTTTTGCAAGAGCCAGGGCTATTTTATAACTTACTGAGTTATCTAAAGCGATAGAATTAGTTTCATTTTATTGGATTCTGCAAGACATTTGTCAAGGGTTTATGCATAGGAGTAAGAGAAAAGTGATACTTGTAGCCCTTACAATTGTATGACTATCCTGAACACTCCTACCATTATTCATAAAAATTTTATTATGATGTAGTAGTGTTCAGATACTTCCAAGTGCTTACCATGTCTTCTATACCTATATTGTTCATTACAGTAGCCACTAGCCACATGTGGCCATTAAGCACTTGAAATGTGGCTAGTCCAAATTGAAATTTACTGTTAGCATAAAATACACATCGGATTTTGAAGACTTAATTAAAAAATAGCATGTAGGCCGGGCACAGTGGATCATCTGAGGTCAGGAGTTCGAGACCAGCCTGGCCAGCATGGTGAAACCCTGACTCTACCAAAAATACAAAAAATAGCCGGGTATGGTGGCGCATGTCTGTAGTCTCAGCTACTCAGGAGGCTCAGGCAGGAGAGTCGCTTGAACTCAAGAGACGGAAGTTGCAGTGAGCCGAGATCACGCCACTGCACTCCAGCCTGGGTGACAGAGTGAGACTCTGTCTCAAAAAAAAAAAAAAAAGCATGTAAAGTATCTCACTAATTTTTAAAGTATGAATACACGTTCATATGGTAATATAGTATTTGCTAATAAGGCAGTCGTCCTTTTCTCAAGGCCTCCATCATAAAAATGCAGACGACTATTTATATTTTTTTGTGAATTTCTCAGTATAAATAATTCCCCAAATGATCATACTTTATATTTTCTGGACTACATGCCTTGAGGTTTTTTCCTGCTCTTGTACTGGCCCTTCTTTTCTTTAAGGCCTAGCTCTTCTAATTCATAATAGTCCTTAGTTTCTTTTTCCTTGAGCTGAGCATGATATTTGTACCTCTCACTTGATATTCATTTATTGAAGCATTTAAACACCTACCGTGTGCTAGGTACTGTGCTAGACACTGGGAATATGAAGATCAAGAGAACATAGTTCTTACTCAGGACATTTATGGTATACTTGAAGAAGAGAGGGAGACATGAATAATGGCAATTGAGTTGTTACAGATACAGTGATAAAAGTGTACAGAGAACAGTGGAGGCATAGAGGAAAGGGAGTAGTTAATTCTGTTTAGGGTTGGTCTTGGAAGTGGAGGTGCTGATAGAGGTTTTCAAATATGAACAGGTGTTAGGTAGATTTCACATTGTGTTTTGGAGGACTGAAAGGCCCAGGACATTGGAGACTGAAGGAGCAGCAAGAATCATTTATTGCTTCCTGGTGTTGTTACTTGAACATATATTGTTGCTTATTGATACACATTATTTCCTAAACTGCTCAGGGTCAAGAACTATGTATTGTACTGTTTTGTACTTGTCCATAGGGTTTCTTTGTTGCTACTAGCGTTCATCAATTAGAGAAGACAGAAATCTTTGTAGCTCCTGATGCAAAGTAGGAAATAGGTAGGGAGAAAGTTCTTTCCTAGTTTATGAAATGCCATGAAACAATGTGTAGGGCCTGTATTTTCATATGAAATATATTCCTTAGGGTGGTAATATTGGAAGAAAGGATTTTTATAAAAGTACTTTTTTAGTGAACATTTTTTATATTGTCATTTTTCAGAAATGCTTTCCATAAATGCCTATTCTGCTAAAGAGATGATATATTAATCTCAACATTTAATTTAGTTGGCTTTTTTTTTTTAAACAGAATACAGAGTCAAAAAAGTTAAGTCCACCGGTGGTGGAGACACTCCCTACAGTTGATTTGCATGAAGAGTCTTCCAATGCAGTTGTGGACAGTGAAACTGTTGAAAATATTTCCAGCTCATCTACCTCAGAAATCACTCCAATCTCAAAGCTTGAGTAAGTCATTACAAAAAACAAACACACAAAAGAATCTCCTTAGTTAGTGATAGAAAGATTTCTTTAAAAGATAAAGCAGCTTGCTACTCAAGTTTGAAGTTTAGGCTATATAGCAGACCTAAATTAAATTACAGTTACTGTGTTTTATGTGCATGTGTGTGCATGCCTTTGTGTGTTTTGAATGTAATGATTTTATAACAAGTTTATTTAGCTAACTAACTCAATGAAGTTGATAGATCCCAAGTGTGAAATCTCTATATAGTCTAAGCAAAGTAAGGTTCTACTTAGGAAACAGTGCTTATTTGAATTATCTTCCCTGTAATTATCAACTCAAATGTCAGGTTGTTCATTTCCATTAAGTATCACTGCCATTTCATTCATTTTTATGTCTTCGTGTGAATTGCTACCTTTTTCAAACTTGATAATAAATATTCAGAGTGTTTGGGTTTAAGTGATCCTTAAATTAGAAAATTTGTTAGATACTTCTCCTAGCTCCTTCCTGCAACAGTCCAAAGAACAAAACGAAACGTCCTTCTCTTAATACTACATAAGCATTTCCTTTATCAAATGAGTTAATATAAATAAAGTGCAAGAAGAATAACTGGTACATAGGATAAATGTGTCCGTTAATATCACCCTTGCTTCTCAAGAATGTAAGGGCCTGGGTTGAAGGAGTTGCACAAGGTGTTATGGTTACCAGCTAGGAGCATGTCTCAGTACGGGCCAGGGAACAGAAGACATGTTGATAAATAATGATAGTATTTTAACTTTAATGATAGTATTTTAAATTTAAATGATTCCGAAGGAACTTAAGGCTAGATACCACATATCTGAACAGTGAATTCTATACTCCCATTATATTAAACATGACTGATAAATGAAATGGAGGTGAGGCAGGGGTAAAAATGAAATTCTAAGAACACCTTAAAATTTTAGTGAAATGTCTTGAGATAATGACTTTTGAAGGATGCCATAAGTAACAACTTTAATGCTGGTAGAATTAATATAGTAACATGGAAATTAAACTTTAGAGAAGATACAGTGAGAATAAGTAATTTTTAAAAATCTTATTTTTGATACGACCAAATATTAACCTCTAATATTTTAATATTTGGTAGGTAGTTATTTAGAAGCTGAGGACAATAACAGATCAAGTCAGCAATTGACTTGACATGATTTAAAATTTTCTTTCTTTGGTTTACATTATGTTTTGGAAATCACTAATAGTGTTTTTAATGTATATTACCTCAAGTTAATTTAATTACCAGATTATGTTTCTTGTTTCTTTTTTTAGTGAAATAGAAAAATCTGGTACTATTCCTATAGCCAAACCAAGTGAAACCGAGCAGTCTGAAACTGATTGTGATGTTGGTGAGGCCCTTGATGCTAGTGCTCCAATTGAACAACCTTCCTTTGTCAGTCCACCTGACAGGTGGGTAGGAGCAGTTGTTTGTCCTTCTTATGATTCTGTAATAACAGCAGTGTCCTGTTTGAATAGACTTTGGTGTATGTTAAATTCCACTTTGAGAGAAAGCTGATCTCTCTGTGTTTCTTCCTTGGTTTACTTTGTACATGAGTTATAAGAATTGAGATTGTATAGAATTTGTTATCCAGTAAAATCTGTTTATTTAATATATCTTTTGGTTTTAAATAGCCTTGTTGGCCAGCATATAGAAAATGTATCATCTTCACATGGTAAAGGAAAGATAACAAAATCAGAATTTGAATCAAAAGTTTCAGCAAGTGAACAGGATGGTGGTGATCAAAAATCTGCATTGAATGCTTCAGATAATGTAAAAAATGAGGTAAGTATATAACTTGCACTATCTCTTACTTCTTTATGTAATGCATTTTTGTTATTAGCTAAGCTCATAATAATTTGCTAACTATATTTTTTGTAAAATCAGGGAGATGAAGTAGACAACAACATGTGGAACTAACAGGAACTGTGCTCTCTGAGAGCAAGTGATTCTGTCTCCAATATAGTGTTTATTACATAAAGTTGTTTCAAGCATGAACTCTCCTTGGTTATATATTATTAAATGATTTTGTGCCATGCACAGCTGTTTGATACCAGATACATAAAGTCCTTATTTAATCAGCTTCTTAGAAAGCTATCTAGAAGAAGATATGCCTAATTACATTTAATTATCTTCAGAATGTACGAGGTTAAATTTAGGCTCTTCAATCAGAACTATTTTAATGGAACATTTTACCTTTCATTATTTGTATGCAAAATACAACCAGACCACCTTATATTTTAGAGTGTGATTCTTATAATTAAGACAGAGCTTATCACAGTGAAACAGTTTTACTTTCTTTTCTCCTTCTGAGTTGTACCTTGACTTCATGTACTGTAGAATTTCTTGAAGTAGTATCAGCACAGCAATTTAAACTTCCCTCAGGTAAGCAATGACTAAGTTGAAGAGGTGAAGTATATTCCATAAACTTAACAAAAACAAAAATAAATAGGGTCCAAGGGTAGTTCAGTGTGCTGACTACCACATCCATATTTATTCCTCTTTAATTTGGGATCTTTTGTTCTCTGCTTTCTTTTTCACGTATTTTCAGTGAATCTTCACTTACGACTAACTAAACTTCATTCTGGAGACTTTCACTATCATGGGACCAACTGTTTTGATGATGCTTCTTATGGGAGCTCAGCATTTCATACATCTTGAAGGAACTACTTTTCTCAATGATACCAAATTACGTATATGTTAAAGTTTAGTTGTCAGATATCACATCCATGAATAAAATTAGACAAACATTAAAACACATCTCCTTTGAAGGTATTTATAAAAATGTCAAATGTAAAATTCAAGCATGGCAGCTAGCTTTGTCCTAGATTTGCTTGTTCTCCTTAACTTAGCAGACTGAAACTTCTTTATTACCTAAGAGACTTAAACTGTTTGTGAGTCTATGCTAATAGGCAAAAGAGTAGAATTTTAATTAACTGTATTAATTACTTTCTAAATGAATTAGTATCCCAGAAAAATCATGACAGATAATGAGCACATTACGACTAATAGCCAATAGTTTTATTTAGTATCCACTTCAGAATAACTCTGCCCAGTTAAGTTTATGTGAGTGGGAGAGAATTTGCTTTCTGATGCCTTGTGCTAGCCTTTTATTTCAAGGGTCTGTGAGACATTGATTGCCGTGCTTATATGCTTATATGGAGAATGCTTTACAAACTGGTTTTGTTGTGTTGTTTATAGACAATGCATTACAAAGTGATTTTTATTGTATTTGTTCTCTTATTTGTTGCCAGGAGGATATAGTGATTTATTTGGCTGGGCTTCAAAGGGTAAATGTATGTTCCTTTTGTTGCAGGTTTTGTATTTGAGTTTTACTTTGTTAGTATCTCAGCTAGGTAAATTTTTCTAAGTGCATGTTTCTTGTTTATTTTCCCAATGTATCTGATGCAGGACAGGCAAGCCCCAAAATTAGTGCTTAGCCCGGGATGATTCTTGGCTTAGCCCAGGCAAGAATTAAAGGGCAAGCCAGTGGTACTAAACAGCGACTTTAATTGAAGTGGCAGTGTACAGCAGCGGCAGCAGCAGCAGCCGAGGTACTGCTCTGTGCGGAGTAGCGCTACCCCATAAGCATTGTGCCCAGAATAGCAGTTCAGAAGCAGTTGTGCAGTCATGCTTATATGTACTTTTAATTATATGCAAATTAATGGGTAGTTATGCAGAAATTTCTAGGAAAAAGATGGTAACTTCTGGGTTGTCAGGCCATTGTTATGGGAAGGGGTGGTAACTTTTGGGTGTTGCCATGGAAAGATGTGGTAACTTCCAGGTGTTGCTGTGGCAGTGGGAAACAGACATAGCACACTGGTGGTGGGCTTGGCTTATGGAAATTTGCTTCCGTCTGGGACCTGTTTTAGCTGGTACTCAATTTGATCTGATGTCCAAGACCCGCCTCCAAAATTGAATCCCACCTCCCTACCTCATTCCTCCCTCAGAGATTAGATACTCCTCCGTAATCTTAAGAAGGCTACACAAGGATAGAGATCCGTCTTCTGTAACTGCTTCCTGCTGAGTTTACGGTGTAGGCCCTATCTAGCACCAGAGAAGTGAAAATCTCTGGATAACTGATAGGGGCCCAGAGACAGGATGAGTTGGAAGCCTTGTGCTAACATTTTCTTTACCTGGAACTGTTTTAAGACAAAACAAAATGAAACAAAAGAGGTTAAACAGGCAAGGACCAAAAATTAGTAACAAGACAGCCTTCAAAGGTCCTAGAAGAGGTAGCTAAAAGCCAGTTGAAACTTTTGAAGGCACTTTTGATAGTTGACCAGATATAGTTGCAATAAGTGCCCTGGTTGTATCTGTAACCAGGTAGTTTACTTATAGATCTCTTGAATGTTAATCTCAACCTGTCTGGAGTCGTTCATATATGTGCAGCAGGTTTTATTAATAACTGCACATGCTCTACCTTGTTCAGCTAGTAAATAGTCCCGTGCTAGTCTGTTATTGAGAAATACATTTGCCAAAGAGTCTAGGGACTCTTGAATTCTCTTTAGTGCATGACCTGTGTTGGTGGCTAAGGATTCTAGAGTTTGAGTCAAGTTGTTTAGGGTTCACTTGTGGTAAGCAAAGCCACCCAAGGGTACTGCTGCCCTGATTCCTGCCAGAATTAATCCTATTGCTTATTTACTTCTGGTGTTATTTGGGTCTCATGACAGTGACCCCTGAAGGGGCAAGAGTGGTCAACATACATTCACCTCAGTTCCAAGTTTTGATACATAAGGGAAAGCTACCCCTAGAAGAGCAGATATTGACTTTTAACTATTCAGAATTAAAAGACAAAGAGCCAGATGACTACCTGGGGAGTCAGGAGTGGTTATGGGGTATGACTTCTTCCCATTCATGGCCACAAAGAAAAATGAGCTGAATTGGGGCACAAACGGAGACCCTATGGGGTGTGATCTTTATTCTTTGTTGCCAACTTGAGTCTATAGAGATACTTTCCCCCATTCTAATAGGGGTGGTTGAACAATTATTTTCTGAAAGAGGGTGGCACTGCCACCTTCCCAGACTAGGTAGTTAGTTGTTTTCCCCTGTATATTCTAATCCAGGAAAAGCCACCATATATAGTCTCCTTGTTTTCAAGTGGAATCCCATTTACCTCACTGTGGCATTGGTATGTTGGCATCTAGAGTTGGATTCAGAGCATTGCAGGGAAACTTCTGCTTTAGTGTCCTTAACACAAAAGGTGCAGAAGGTAGAATCATGAGTGCACTGGAGGTATACATAGCCAACTTCCCAGGTCCAGGTAATGGTGGGAGGTTCAGGTGGAATTTGTTCAGTAGGGAGAGTTTGTTCCACTTATCAAGTAGGGGTTTGGGTATTTCAGGATTGCTGTGGTTAGTTAGGCAGTTTGGGGGACATGTTTGTGAGATTTTTCTGGATAAGCCAGAAGATTGAAATCTTTATCCTGGGGATGTTGATGACAAATCTAGCAACCATGAAGGTGGTGCCCTGATGCTATAATTTTTGAAACATTTACTGTAGAATTATGTTTCTAGCCACACCAGCTCAGGGTAATTGGGAGAGCAAACAAGATTAATAGTGACAACATGATGTCTGCAATTGGGCCTTAGCATGGCCTCTACACCCAACAAGGACAAGAGCGGTGTTTCCTGGGAGGTTGGCTAAAGTGATTGAAAAGAAGTATTACACTATTTTGCTCCCCCACTGCTCAAAAGGGTTCAAGGACCGATGAGTACCCACTCACCTCCACTCTTGTCTGGCCCAGAACATCCCCTGGCTACAAGTTTCCTGACTCCAAGTCCCCTGGCCACAGGATTCCCACCAAGGGATACAGTGGACCTGGAGCAGGCAGCATAATATCTTAGCATCGGCATAGGCGAAAATAAAATCTTTGCCATTAACATTGCATCCAGCACCTTCTGACAAAAAGGAGGAATACAGAACAAAAATCAAAATCCATAGCCCCCCAACAGACTGAACAGATGCTCCCTTCCTGGCCAAAGGGAATGGATTTGGGCAGGAGCCCCCCAAACACTTCTAAGCAATATAAGAGTCAAAACCAAAAGCCAAAATAGGTTACACATCAAGAAAAGAAACAACAGCATAGAATTAAGCTATACTGGAAGAAAACACTGCTCCCACAGATCTCTAAGACTAAACATTTTAGCATCAGGCCACAACGGCAGTCATAGTTGCAGCAGAAAAACTCACAGGAGCTGACAAAAAAAGCTAAAAGAGTTAAAATGAATCCGAAAAGCTTTCAAAAGAGTAGATTACAGGATTAAAAAGCAAAATTTCTGGTAATTTAGCAAATCAACATTTTAAGAAAATTGAGTTTTAACATTTAGACCATTCTTTTATTTATTTATTTATTTATTTTTGAGACGGAGTCTTGCTCTTTTGCCAGGCTGGAGTGCAGTGGTGCGATCTCTGCTCACTGCAACCTCCGCCTCCCAGGTTCAAGCGATTCTCCTGTCTCAGCCTCCCGTAGCTGGGACTACAGGTATGCGCCACCGTGCCCAGCTAATTTTTGTATTTTTAGTAGAAACGGGGTTTCACCATGTTGGCCATGGCCAGGGTGGTCTCTATCTCTTGACCTAGTGATCCACCCGCCTTGGCCTCCCAAAGTGCTGGGATTACAGGGGTGAGTCACTGCACCCGGCTAGACTGTTCTTTAGCAAGTGTATTATAAACAATTTCCTTCTAATTATGACAAGGTTAATCATACACAAAATTTCTTTTATAAAGTCTCCTTTATGAACCTTGTCATGACATAACACAGACCCTCTACAACATGCTTGAAT